GGGTGCTTCTTCCCTTCCATTTGGTTTACAGATAATGAAACGCTGCCACGCTTCTTCCAATAAGACTGGGGAGACCTCTGTTGAGGGAACAGTGAAAAAGTCCCGTAAGTCAATACATGGACGAGGGTCTTCCAGCAAAAAAACAGGAACAGATGGAGGAAGAAAAAAACAAAGTCAAAAAGCAGAGGTAATTACTACTTTGAGTCAAACAGATGTGAAAAGTAACATTAGAGAAAATAGGGATTTTGCCTTTTTTTTCTTTTTTTTTTGCCCTTTTTATTTATTTATTTATTTTTATTATTTTCTGGGGGAATGTCAGAGAATATTTCACAAATTCACAAAGAGAGAGTATTTCACAAAATCGAGGTAGTGCTCTTGAGGAAGTATTTGTACAAACATTTCCTTAGAGAAGCACTGCTGTATCTATGAAATATGGAAACCAGAAAGCAACATGTGCTATTATGTGTTTGACCAATAGAGGGAAGTATTGTCTGAAAATTAAAAAAAAAGGGGGGGGGCAGGGGGAAGACTGGCTGTGCTTTTGAGCAGATTGATGAAATGTGTTCCTTCAGCTTAAGTGAAGCTGGGTCAATTCCAGAGAATATCCTTTGCACATCTTAAAGTTGGCCTAAAGAGCTTTCTATTGGAAAAAGCCCGCTTGACAGCTCACATCATGAGCATCATTGTCTTAAGATGTGTCTGGATAGAAAAAAAAAAACCTTTCTTAGTGCATTTGTTATTTCATTATCTTAGTTTTGGAATAAGTGGAAGTAAAAAGTGGCTTTATTTGCTTTAGAGGAATACTATTTTCTAGTTCACAAAGCCTTAGCTATAGTCACTAGTAGCAGACCTCTGTCAAGCATTAAAGTGCCTTCACAACTTCTTCTGTAGCAAGTTATAGTACAGTATACAGTAGTTCTTATTATACTTTTATTTACAGTATAGTCTACAGTAAATAAATGGTTCTGCAGCAGCAGATGACTCCTAGTCGCTTTTGATTTAAACTTTTCTTCTCAGCAGGTCACTCAGACAGTCAAATGGAAAGCTAAGGAACACAGGGACTATTCTCCTGCAGGTAGGAATATATTTCCTTATGTTTGTCTCACAACAATTTAATGTTTTGGGAAACACTAAAATGAAAAAGTAATAACTGGTATTTTGAACTGATAGATTTATGAAATATGCCATTGAAATAAGTTTCATGATTTTCTTTCTAAACAGTAAAAATGATTAATCACAGTGAAGTTTTAGTCACTGTATATTCATATAATATATGATGTATATGCATGTACTAATTGTATACTTTATTTGCAAGTGGTGTTCTCTGGTTCTGGATGCTTATGATAGAGTTAAAATGTAGAATAATCTATTTCATTCTTGGTTTTCTTGCTTGTATCACAAATGATTTGAGGAAAATACCTGTTAAGAGTGAAAGTTTTTATAGGAAAGAACTCCTACTATTTGTGCTTATTGCCCAACACACTACTTAAAACTGTGAAGTACAAATCATTACCACTTAATATTGAAAGATAGTGAGATGGTATATTTGTTGAGAGGGAAAAATCTTAGCTAATAGATTTTTTTGACCACCATCTTGTTGAATTATTTACTACAAAGCTGTTTATCCACACTTGATAAATCTCCCAATTTCTCTTTCCCCTTCTCCTTCCTTCTACTAGTACAAACAAAAGAAAATGGTTCTTCAAAAGAGATGAAACTAAGCAGTGCTGAAGTAGCATCTTGGCAGACTCTGTTGGAGAGCAGCAAGCAGTTTCTGGAAACTATGATGAATTCAGTAATACTGTAAGTGCAAAATATTCTGGTGATTCTTTTCTGTCTGCTTCTCTAAGCAATAAAGTAAAACACAAATACTTACCCGAAGTTGTAAATTCTCACCTAGACAAGGTTCGACTATTTACTCTGCTTGCTGAGTTCTTTGTACTGCCTGGGTCTGTGATTAAAAATTATGCTTTTATTTTATTTCCAGTTCTCTTTTGTGCCAACAAAGAGAGAGGAAAGAAGATGTTCAGAAACACCTCAATTTACTGAAACAAAGGTAAGAAATTTAAAAAGGGGGCAGAGAAGATGTGTGGAAATGGAATGTGGTTTATTCAGTTATTTTTGTACCATGATGATAGGATTGCTTCTGAGAGCAATCATATTGGAAGGAAAAGTTAATGGAAAATCAAGGAGGGAATCATCTTGATAGTACAATTCAGGCTTTCCTTTTTCCCTAATACAGGATATTGAGATTTTTCAAGACCTTAAAGGTACCACCAAGGAAACTGGGCAACCTGAAGAGTTTGCTGAGTCTTCAAGTGGCAGAGAAACAAATGCTTGAGACAAATGAAGAGTCTTTGGTACAATTAGAGGTATGAAAAGTAAGAATGGGAAGGAGATGTATCTTTTCTGTCTTTGGCTTCTTAGTGTGTTGCAACCTTTTAGCAAAGGTGCTGCCCCTCTAGTCATTATTGTCATCCACTTTCTTATTAAGCAGTGTGTCTTTTTGACTGTTTTCTCAGTTATTTAGCTGGTGCTTTGGAGAAGGAACTTAGAAGAATTGGGAAGTTTTGAATACTCTATCAACAGATAGAGATGATAGTTCTTTAATCCTGTTAACTTTTTGTTCTACTTTGTTATTTGTTTGTTTTTGTGAATCCTCCTCTCTAGTCTTAAGGACAATTTGTTTGGGAACTCTTGCACAGTATTTGATACACAAATGGGTCACTACCTCTAGAGAAATTTTTATTGCTGTTCTCTCTTTCTGTCTTTTTACTTCAGGAAGAAATAAATGAGGCCAAACGATCAGCAGAACGCATAGAGGAAACTGTACAGCAACTACAGTACAAAATCCAGGTGCTCAGGAACCAGTTGGAGGAAGATGAAAAAAAGGCTAGCAAGGTATTTGCAACAAATATTGCTGCCTTCAGATAAGGAGAAGGTGTGTTTCTTGTGTTAGCCCATCCATGTTGTTTCCACTGACAGCTTAATAAAAGGGAGGTCTCATCTATCTTTTGGAATTGTACCTTTTCAGTCGTTCTAAGCTCAATTGTAAAGCTAAGATTTTTTTTTTTTTAAAGAAGTTGAGTGATAGCAGGCAATTTCTTTTTTTTTCCTACTTCCATCTCTTTTTTTTTAATTCACACCATAGGTATTCCAGCAAGACTGCAGTGGAGCACTCCACCTTCCGGAACTCCCTAAGCGTAGTTTAGAGGCACCCACTCTGCAGGTGAGCAGCGAGTGTATTTTTAAAAACAGCGTGGCAAGGAGAAGGAGTGGCACAGAAACTGCCTTTATCACTTAGCTTTCTTAGCCAGAAGGGGCAATATATATTAATCTTTTTTTGTTGTTGTTTGTTTTGTTTTTCATTCAGAACTATATGCCTGTGTGGGTTGTTTGAGTGAGTGTGGATTTGTTTGTTGTGTTTTTTGTTTGTTTTTGCCTCTCTAGAAAGCATACAATGTAAGGATCCCTTGCATCTTTCTAGTGGCACTGTGGTTCTAGGGAGCATGTAATCATTTCTGAAATAAACCACAATGTAGCTCCAGAAAGAAAGTGTAGTTGCTTAAGTTTAGAGAGGGATTAAAGATGCACATTTATTAGTCTGATGGAGTGAATTTCCTGTTGGAGTCAGTAAAATAAGTCTCCTTATTGCCTCTTATTCTTAATTTTTTTTCTTTCTTTAGAAAGAAATTTTGAAGATAAAAAACAAGAATGGTCTTCTAAAGGATATGAGCATTATTCAGCAGTCAGCTGAAATGAAGAACATGTTAACCCTCATGGAAAAGATCTATGAAAAGGTGGACTTCATTTGAGAGACCAAAATATATGGCAGCTGCTTTGAAGCAAGATAACCTCTGCCAGTATTCTATACTATACTGACATGTAAATACTTTTGAAGACTCTCGTGATTTATGTACTCCATCAGGAAATTTTTTGACCAGGGAGGTCCTCTTCCAATGAAGATACATATTTTCTTAGAGGAAGAGAGATTTATTTGCATTTTTATAGGCTTGGGCAATGTCAAATTAGAAAATGCAGTGCTGCTTGTGAAACTATCACATATTTCAGAGTTAAAATCCTCTTTAAACTTGAAGCACCTAGTAAAGTTAAGTCTATGTAAAGCAGAGTTGCAAATCCCCTTTCCAGCTTCATTACCTTTTTTTAATAAAAAGGCCTATACTGCAGGAGACTGAGTTATTTTTATCAACTATAGAGGTTTTCTTACCTTGTTTTAAGCAGTAAGTTGAAAATGTATTTATACCTCGTTTATTCCCATGACTGGGGAAAGCAGATGAGAACATTATGCAGTAAAATTTTCTCAATAAAAATCTCAGTTACGTACTCCATATTTCATTAATTGCCAGGTATCCTTCAGCCTTAGAAAATGAAGCTAACTGTACATTTTCTTTCTGCACTTCCTTGTCGGCAGTAGAATTTTATTAAAGGATCCAGTTATTATATAGCACTTTCCCTAGCTGAATTATCATTTAGAAAACTTAGCAGTGTTTTTAATGTTGACTTACCAAGAAAACATTTGTGCATTTGTTTACAAGCTCCTAGTACCTTTAATGAGGCACAAGATAATTATCTCTATTTCCCTCTGAGAGATGGGTTGCTATGTTTCGAATCAGGACAAATGGGTATGAAAAAGAAGCAGACAAGTTTATGATGGGTATTATCTATCAGTGGCTATTAAGTGGTTAGAAAGCAGTGTTGATCCAGGAAGTCCCTGAACTGCTGATTTACTCATACATAATGATATTCTGAAGGATAAGATACTGAGTTCAAATGAATTATTGTTTGTATCTGTAGCATTTCTTATCTTCCTACTAGAAAGGCTGTAATCAGAGTGCTTTGCAGTTGTTCCTGTTTGATTAGATCTTGATTTTTGTATCATCAGACTGGTCTGACAGGAACGAACAAAGAGTCAGGCAAGGGGCCAAGAGGGCTGCAATCCTGCTGTCCCAAGACAATACTTGTGGCTGCTTTGTTAGGTTGATTTCCTCTTGGGCAGAATATGTCTCAGTTTACTTCAGGTTCCAATTCCTCATGGCATGCAGCTTAGCACTAAGCATAAATCTGATCCCTGAGAGGAAGAAAGATAAGTATGTATAAAGCGGTTCATTGATTGATACCAATGTGGAGAGATTAACTTCCCAAGGAAAAATTAAAGGTTCTTATTGGAGCTCTGTACTTTTGTACAAACCACTTAACACTGAATTAACTCTGCTTATGGAGTCCCTCCTCCTTAGGAGGTGTGGTTGGCTCTTGCTTTCATTTCTGTGCTTCCCAAAAGAAATAAACAGTAAAGCTTTTAGGAAAAATACACCACTTTGGAACAATACAACTATATTTTCAGTGTCAGTTTTTTCTCTGCTTGTGCAGAAGTCAAGTGCATGCATTTTCTCGTAACTTCAAGCTCATCATTACGCTTTGGAAGTACGAGGTACGAGACTGATCAGGTAATAAGGTAAGTGATCAGTTGATCTATCAGTGCAATATTTATTTTCACTCTAAATGTATTTCTAGACATGGAACTATAAGAGGCATCCTTCTGTAAAAGTAAGCATACACTCAAGCACATCAACATTGTCTTTAGTTATAGATGCACATGCACACTGACTGCACTTTTGTGACATGGAAGCAATTTATGCCTTGGAAATGGTTAGAAAATGGCTTTATGAAAGGTGGATATGCTCATGTTATTGTAGGTATTTTTTTGTGTGCATGTGAAATGAAATAGGGAACTAGGAGAGAGCTTGAAACTCATGGTAGACCATATTGATCTTGAAAGATGTTTTCCTGTCTAAGGCACAAGTATGTTGGTGTGACCACATAAGCTTCACTACATTGTTAATATTCCTTAGCATTTATTGGGGGAGCAAATTGCCTGTACACGTGTTGTTAAATACTGTGGCTTACTCGGTAAGGACACCAATAAGCAACTCGATTACTGTTGATTGTTAGTTGTTTTCCCAAATGACACCTGTCATTTAGAAATTGGACTGGCTTGAAATATACTCAGCCTGAAGCAATTTCAAGCACGCAAAAAAAAAAAAAGTGGAATATAATCTTAGAAGAAAGGCAGGTGAGTCCATTTGTATTTAAAATAAGTCCATAGAAGCCTTTTTCTATAGGCAACAGATCAACCACAATACAGTGATCTCGGGAAGACTCCACGCTCCGTGATTCATTTTTGGCAGAAGATCTGCTACAAGGCTCACAGGTATTCTGATTTATGTCACCATGTCAAGACCCTTCTATAGTTATAGCAATTAGTACTTATTTCCTACAAAATCATAGGAAAATCATGTTAATTAACACCAACCCTATTTTTTTTTTTGTCTGAGTTATCTCTCTGTTGGATGAATCCCTTTGAAGCAGCTGTGTGTGTCTGATAGACAAACAGGATTTGGAGATGGATGATCACAGAACCCTTTGTTACAGGATTTGCTGTTCCATCTACAATCTTAAGTTGTGATTAATTTCAAGATCTTTATTAGGTGAAGACTGAAGGTGTTTGATGGCTACAATGTAAGGTTATGCTTATAAAGGTAAAATACCGTAAGATGTGATAGGTTATATAGTGAGCTGCAGCAAACGGATTTTTTTTTTATGTAGATTGGTATAGATTGGAGGAGTCAAAAAAAATAGTGGATGTGATAGTTTTGGGAAATTGCTCATTAGTAGTTAGTAAGAGTTCAGCCATATATAGGCTTAAAGACTTTAATGTTAACAGTTTACTTATGACACTTATTTCTGACATTCACCAGCAAAGGTTAATGTGTTTTCTTGTCAAATGTTAGAAACACTTCTTTGAATCTCTCTGTAAGCTACCTGGCTAATGTTGCCAAACACCATCCCATCTCACTGATCTCTGCACGTACATCTATTGAAAAATAAAAAATATATTTATCCCCCAAAGCTTTCCATAGGAAAATGGTGAAAGGGAGGACTTGTAGGAGCTACTGTATTTTATGAAGCTGTCAGTTATATCACCCAGTTCCCACTTTTTTTTTTTTTTTAACATGACTCTTCACACCTTGTCTGTATTTCCCAAGCAGGTCTGCAGGAAATATGCTGGTGCTGAACTCTTCCACTAAACTGCAGATGCTGGAGAAAATGTTAATGTGGAGTTTTCCCGAGTCCCTCAAGGTAGCACAAAATTGCTAGTCTTTTAATGGTGTTTTATCCATGCATTAGGACATTTGTCAGGGAATTAAAGCTACAGGCAGATGATTGTGGTTCTTGTGGACTGGCTGAAGACTACACCTGAGATATCTGTTTGCTTCTGCTTACTAAACCGCTTCCACATACTTAAGAATGAAGCAAACCAACTATTCCCCTCTCCAAAACAACTAGAGTTGCTACAATGGATGGAGCAACTAGAGTTGGACAATGGTTTATTTGTCCAGTAATATGCCTTACAGATCTACGTGTATGTATGCATCTATAGCATATGTGTGCCTCCAACTGAGAATCTGAATGTGTACTTTCAACTCTGTGTTCCTGGTTCAGTCCTTGGTTTATGAGGAGGGCTGACAGATACCACATTAACATGTCTCAAGCTGCCTTTCTTCCCTTGGCTCTTTATCCTGCAGGTTTATGGGGCTGTGATGAATATCAACCGAGGGAATCCCTTCAGGAAGGAGGTGGTGGTGGACAAGTGGCCAGACTTCAAAGCTGTTATCACCCGGCCACAGAGGGAGGTCAGTTGAGGTGTTTTATCTCTGTTCCTGAGCTGCAGATAAAACAAAGCTTCTTCTCAGCTTCGACAGAGCAATAGTATAGCTATAGAGCAAAGCTCTATAAATAAATCTCTCTTGCTTGAGAGTCCCTGCTGAGAATACCAAAATAGTTATCCTAAAAAAACTCTCTTTCTCCAACTATCTGTTGGAGTTGTGGGGATGGATTTTTCTGAGTCTTGGAAAATGGAAAAAATGCAGGGAAGAGGGGGAGAATTTTTAATTCTTTTAAGTTTTTTTTTTTTTTTTTTTTTTTTTTTCCTCCAGAGTGACATGGATGACCTTGACCATTACACCAATGCGTATGCAGTTTTCTACAAGGAGCTGCAAGCTTACAAGGAGCTACTGGAAAACACAAATACTATTAACTGGGGGCAGATTTTTCAGATACAAGGTATAGTAGAGCTCTAATTTATTTTAAAAAAGCAAAATAGATGAAGTAGGTGGTTTAAAAAGTCTTAAGTCAGTGTGGATCCTGTCATTCTACTTTTTATATAAAAGTTTATTTCAGTTATTTCTTTGATCTAAGATTTTTTTTTTTCCCTTTTGGTCACAGGATTCTGTAGATGACATACAGACTGAGCAGTAGTGATTGTAAATGTGGTAATTAGAGGTCCTTTAAAAGTCAGTGGTTGGAAGCTAAGCCTAAACAAGATCAGAATGGGAAACAAGACTGAAAATTTTAGTAGTGAAGGATACTAACTAGTAAAAACAAAAACTTGCCTATGCAGTAGGTGAATTTTCTGACGTGAAATTTTTGTATTAGGCCTGTCTACATTACTAGGGTTCTAGCTGAGTATTAGAGTTAGATGGGGAGGTCATGGGGAGAGTGACTGTGTGTTTTAGGAGGTTCAGATTAGATGAATAGCGTGACAGCTACTGATCTTTAGTTATACAAAGTTATGACCAGAGTGTGGAGAGTTGTAAGTTTGGAGGTCTTGTATACCTGCATAGTTCCATAAAAGGTGTAATCTTGAGCTTTTATTTTCAAAATATGCTTTATTTTAAAGGTGTATTACTTTTATTTATATATATATATATATATGCACACGCCTATATATATATACACACATAGGGCTCCAGGATGGAATATGGGAAGTATCTAGAACTGTGGCTTTAACTAAGGAGGTAGATGTGAAAACATCCTCTTTCAGGGCGATTATCCATTCAGATCCGGATACACTGCCAGCTATCAATTTCCAGTATGTATAATCCTGTTGATAAATCTTATTACTCTCATATTATATTTACAGCAAGTACTTTTGTATCAAAATAACAGGAAGATTGCTGGGCTTTCTCTGTGACTGGACCAAAAATTGGCTGGGGAATGACTCAGTAAAGAAGGGCTACAGCTTTAAACATTTTCAAAGGTGTTTTTTTTTTTTTTTTTCTGCTTTATATTCTAGAATAGTTCCCATCCCTTCCTCTCTTGACAAATGAACAGCTTCCAGAGGTCCCCTTTCCATCTTATTTGAGTTTCCTGTGTTGAAGCTCATTAGGTTTCCTAGATGGATCTGGGATTTCTGCAAAGTTTCAGTACAGGGCTGTACAGAATTGTTTGAAGGACTTCTATATTTTTCTAATGTTCTCTGCTTATCAGATATTGGTCTGCCATCAGAGAAGAAGAGCAGGGGAACCAGAGGACCAGTTTTTCCTGGAATGTCTGAGTAGCAAACTTGTAAACTAGAGCGAATCCACCGGTCTGGGAGGCTGAGAGATTAGAAATCAAATCCCTTCCACTCTCCTGTTGTAGCTAGGATGACACTTTGGCTACTTGCCTTCCTTAACATGTTGTCCACTCTCCCTGCAAGGATTAAAACCCCCCTGGCCCGTGTCATACGTACTTAGGATTTCACATGTGCAAAGACATAAAATTGTCTGGAATTGAATAGTTGAGAAAACATATTATTCAAAAGAAACAATGCAATTTACAAATGTTCCAGGAGGGAGTTTAAAACATTACTTCAATTATGTTGTTAGTAGGACTGGAAGATAACTTGCCAATTATTTGCATGGCAAATTTAGAGAGGCCCTCCCCTACCCAGTGATTCCCAGACCACCAGCTGAAGGAATTCAGTTGTCTTTGGTTCCCTTTTCTGATAAGGAGCTGGAAATCTATTCAGCTGTAGAATGTGTCTTTAAATCTAGTGCAGTTGCTTGGAGAATGTTAGGAACAGCTTTCTGCCTAATACATTTACTCTACTGTTTCTTAGGATGGACCCTAAATTAACAGTGTCTTATCTGGACATCTCCCACGCCAGCCTGCTCAATGAAACGTGGTCGCGCGGAGGCAACCCAAGGTGCCAGCGGTACCTTGCTAACCTCATTTGCTGCTTCCCCAGTGTCTGTATCTTGGATGACAAAGGGTGCCCCCTCTCCTGGAGCCTGACAGACCAGTTTGCCACCATGATTCATGGTTATACTCTTCCAGAGCATCGAAGGAAGGGTTACAGTCGGCTTGTGGCTACCACTTTAGCTAAGAAATTACATAGTCAGGGCTTTCCGGCACAGGGCAATGTTGTGGAGACAAATATGCCATCTGTAACAATGCTGAAAAGCATGAATGCCCGATTTCTTCCCTGCTCCTTTTTTAGAATGATTCATACGCCTTTTCATTTTTTATCTAAACCTCGCTTATAGCTCTGTACTCAATTTGTGCGCTATAGAATTATTGGTGACACTTAACAAATTGAGTTATATCTGAAATCAGACAGAAGAATCTGGTTCAAGCCTAAAGTCAAACATGGAAATTGCTTGTGCCTTCTCTGCTCATGGCAAGCTGCTTACGGCAAGTCCAAAAGACTTAGAAATGCGTGTAAGGTTAATAGCTGTACTTGATATTTCCTTTGTACTGCCCCTATTGAAGAATTATTCCTTCTGTGTAACCTTCATAGTTGAGGAATTAGCTATCTACAACAACATCCTTCGACATCTGTTTCACTTGATGTCAGCCCTCA